CAAATAATGACAAAAATCAAAAATGTCATGGCAAGTTTACCATGGATATTTACCAGGCTGCTCGCTTTACCCCACAGCAGTGCAATGGCCATGAGCATGTGCTGTTAACAACCCCATTCAGGCCAGGCATGGTGTCTCACGCCTGCAATCCCAGCACTTTGGGAGGCCAAGGCCCAGAGGAGTTGAAGACCAGCTTGGGCAACATAGTGAGACCCTCATCTCTACAAAAAATTTTAAAAATTGACCAGGCGCAGGGGCTCACGCCTGTAATCTCAGCACTGTGGGAGGCTGAGGCAAGTGGATCACCTGAAGTCAGGAGTTCCAGATCAGCCTGACCAACATGGTGTAACCCTGTCTCTACTAAAAGTACATAAATTAGCTGGGTGTAGTGGGGTGCATCTGTAATCCCAGGTACTCAGGAAGCTGAGGCAAGAAAATTGCTTGAACCCCAGGAGGCGGAGGCTGCAGTGAGCTGAGATCGGCCATTGCACTCCAGCCTGGGCGACAGAACAAGACTGTCTCAAAAAAAAATAAGTTTTAAAAATTAACCAGGTGTGAGCCAGGCGCGGTGGTTCACACCTATAAACCCAGCACTTTGGGAGGCCGGGGCGGGCGGATAACCTGAGGTCATGAGATTGAGACCAGTCTGGCCAACATTGAGAAACTCCATCTCTACTAAAAATACAAAATTAGTCCAGCGTACTGGCAGGTGCCTGTAATCCCAGCTACTAGGAGGTGAAGCAGGAGAATCACTTGAACCTGGGAGGCGGTAATGCGGTGAGCCGAGATCGCACCATTGCACTCCAGCCTGGGTAACAAGAGCAAAACTCCGTCTCAAAAAAAAAAAAAAAGATAAAAAGATCACGCCATTGCACTCCAGCCTGAGCAACAAGAGCGAAACTGTGTCTCAAAAAAAAAATTAATCGGGTGTGCTGACACGCACTTTAGACCTGGCTACTTGGGAGGCTGACACAGGAGCAATGCCTAAGCCCAGGAGTTTGAGCCTGCAGTGAGCCTTGTTTCATCCACTGCATTCCAGCCTGGGTAGCAGAGTGAGACCCCATCTCAAAAAAGTAAATTTAAATTTAAGAAAAAGCTGGGCACAGTGGCTCACACCTATAATCCCAGCACTTTGGGAGGCCAAAGTGGACGGATCTCTTGAGCCTAGGGGTTCGAGACCAGCCTGGGGAACGGAGTGAGACTTCATCTCTACAAAAAAAAAAGAAAAAATCAGCAAATACAAATTTTTTTTAAATGAAAAAAAAAAAAAAAAAAAAAAAACATTTTAAAGAGAATGATGCTGAAAATAGGGAACTGGCCACGGTCCTATGGATGTTGAGGGAAGAGCTGGGGTTCCAACGCAGAGCTCAGGGAAGAGTCTCGGGGAGGCTGGGCCTGCAGTGATGCCTGAGGATCTGTGTGAGCGGGAGGGCAGTGGACCACAGAGGAGGCTGTGCTCAGGTAAAACACACGGAGATGACAAACAGCACCCAGACACAAGCTACCAACGCTAAGAACACTGCTGACAAGAATGAGGATTCATCAGCCAGGCGCGGGGGCTCACACCTGTAATCCCAGCACTTTGGAGGCTGGGGTGGGCGAATCACCTGAGGTTAGGAGTTCAAGACCAGCCTGGCCAACATGGTGAAACCCCGTCTCTACTGAAAATACAAAAATTAGCTGGGTGTGGTGGCGTGCGCCTATTATCCCAGCTACTCGGGAGGCTGAGACAGAAGAATTGTTTGAACCTGGGAGGCGGAGGTTGAGTGAGCCAAGATGGCTTCCAGCTTGCCCAACAGAGCAAGACTCTGTCTCAAAATAAAATTTAAAGAAGAATGAGGAATCATCAACCTATTATGGTATGACAGGCGCAGGTGCACATGACACACAGCTGTCCTCACCAGCCCTACTACCATGTCCAATCCACAGAGGGGGAGGCAGACTCAGAGCGCTACGAAGCAAGGCCACAGTCCCGGCCAGTGGGAGACATGGCTGCACAGACCAGAGCCTCAGCCTTTGTCAGCCCCACTCCTGACACTAGCCTCAGGGAAAGGCCACGCCTCCTGAGAAAAGCATCTGCCTCATTCTCACTTCAGTGCCCCTTGTTGGTATACTCAAGATCAACCAGGCGAGGAAGCAGAACACAGGCCCCCTTGTCCCTGCCCTGCAGCCACCTTTCAGGAGGACCGTGAGCAGTTCCCAGGCAGCACGACTTGGTGGCCCCGTACCTTGTCATGGTAAGTGGATGGGCACAAACACTGGAACCCCCAACCCTGGGCTCAAAGGCCAACGGGCCTAGCCCCTAGCTGTGCAAGGCAAGCTCACCTTTAGGGACAAACTTCAGGGAGCTGCTGAATATTCAGAATCGGGACTGCCCCGGCTTGGGGCCGTCGTTCAGGAATTCATGGCCCAACCCGTTGCCACACTTGCCACAGGACACCTGGAAAGATCACAAGGCAGCTTCGTGAGCTTCTGGCCATGAAAGAGCCACGGTAAAGGCCCTCACTGGGGCTGGCAGATGGTGTTTCTTCACACACATCCATTTCCCAAGCAGATCCCCAATGTAAGAGGTTGATTTTGGTCCTGGAGCCTGGACAGGAACTCTGCCCTGTTTTCCACATTTGCACCAGAAGGCTAGGCTCTCCTGATAGCCTGGGGTGGCAGCTCCCTCGTGAAGGCCACAGGCCTGGAACAGACAGCCTCTAAGCCCCTGGAGCCATGGGGCAAGCAGAGGGAGGAAGGTGAGGCAGGCTCTTTGCTCTCCCTGGCCACCCCCATGCCTCCCCCATCCCCGTGGCCTCTCACCTTCAAGGCTTCAGATCGATTGTGCTCCGGACGCTTGGCCACGCTGTCCGCGTGAATGGTCTCAGTGAACGCCGGCCATGGGGACGAGTGTGCATACTTCGAGCGGCTGGAGAACAGCTCATAGCCACACTTGGCACACACGTAAATGCCTGTGGTAAAAGGAGAGTTATCAGCTCTGGCCTTTCTGGGGTCACGCTCCCAAATCCATGGGCCCAGGCAAAGGCAGCGCTGTCCCCGTTCCCAGGGTGGGCCCCACACTCCATCCCCATGTACCTGACATGGGAGACCTGCATTGAACTCATGTTTAGTAGACGTGCCAGAGACTGGGGAGTCATCTTTCACAATCACCTCGATTCTTCACATAGTCCCGTGATGGAGCCTCTCCTACCATTTCCATCTTTGCTTGGTGATGCAAAGACACCCAGCTGCAGCGTGTGCAGTGTGAAGGAACCTGGGCAGTCCGATGAGGACACGGAGCTCCCCCTCGACCCCCCAGCCCTCCAGGGGACATACACAGCAGGGGCCTTGATGTGGCCCAACCACCTGGTCCCTCTCCCTTCTTAAGTGGCCCTCCCTGCTGCCCAACAAGGCCCTAAGCTGGACACCCAGGCACTGCCCTGCTCTTCAAGCAGGAAGAGAACAGCTCCAGAGAAAGGCCTCCAGGCCACACAGGAGCCCAGGAAGAAAGAGGGCTGAGGAGGACAGATTTCAGCCTACCCGCAAAGGATCACTTTGGAGTGAAGTGAGTAGGAAAGTTGCAAAACTGTCTTGCAGAACCGTTTGAAGGACTAAAAACAGGAACCTCCAGGGGTGGTGAGTCACCTCTCACCCATCACCTGGGGATAGCCTCCCATGGAGACTAAACTACCCAGCCTTTTCCAGGAACTGGAGAAAAAAGCAAAGAGGAGCCAGCAGCTGCCGTGAGAGAGGAGTTTCTGGCTTCGCAGAGCAGCCTGAGGACAACTGGGGTCCACATCTGGAGAGTCTTGTTGGGGGAGGCTTTGCTGGGTGGTCCTGTGCCACAGCCCAGTCCCCTACAGGGTTGACACCCAGCAGATCCCCCCAGCTTCTAAAATGTGCCTGTGGATGTTTTTACCAAATTAGTCCACTACCAGGCCAGCCTAGCCCCCAGGGCCTCTCACAGCCTGGGGCCAGTGGTGAGGGCTGGCCATGCCCCAAACCACCCCATCCTGTCTGCCTGGTCAGACTCCACTGGCCGTTGGCAGGGGCCTGGTGGCACTCCTGATTCCCGAATCTCGAGTCCTTGGCAAGTGAGGAGGAACCTGAGCTGGCACATTAAAATCTCAAGGGGACATTCTATGCTTGCTGGACTCCTCCCACAGATCCCTGACCTGTGGGATGACCTGCAGATGGGCAGCCCGGCCACAGGAGCTGGCCCTGTAGAAAAACTTCTGTCGCGCCTCTCCAAAGTCCCGACCCTAACCGGAATTCCCCCACCGCCATCACTTTGGAGTGAATGGGCAGGGAAGGGGTACCACCCCCACGTACCCTGATCCCTTCGACTCGCCCCACCCGAAAGGGCACGTTCACACTCGAAGCCTGCCCTCCTCAAGGACCGTGACCCACAAAGCTCCCTCTCATCGGGTACCCCACTCTCCGCGCCCCCAGGATCCCCTCTCCGCAGTCCTCTTATGTTCGCTTCTCCCTGGTGGCCACACTCACCCCCATTCCCGGCTTAGAGGAGACATCACCCCCGGAGGACGGCGACGCCCCCTTTAATGAGCGTCCCCGCCACCCTTCCCCCCCCCACCCCTTCCCCCCACCTCTCACCTCACCCTCCCACCCCCGCTCTGCCCTCCCTGCGAGAGGCAGCACGACCAACCCGGCTCAAAGTGATTCTGGAAAACTTCGCCCCCGAAGAAGCTGCAGAACGACATGGCGCCACCGTAACCGCAACGCACTTGCTGTCGCCAACAGACTCAAGGCTGTCCACCCAGCGACCTCCAAGACCCCCGCCCCCCTCCACGTCCCTCGCGAGGACCAATCGCTCTCCGGGTTGCGAATCCCGGCTTCCGCCTCTGGGAGGCCCCGCCCCTCCTGAGGACCGGTCCAATCCGATCTTCCCGGCAGGCCCCGCCCACCGGTAACTCCCGAGGACTTCTCTTGGCCTGCTTCGCTGAGGCCCCGCCCCCTCCCAATTGCAGGTCCAATCCCATTTTCCCAGTAGTCCCCACCCATCAATAACTGCCTGAGACCACTCCTGGGCCATTTCCTCGATGCCCCGCCCCTCCTGGGGGCCGGTCCAATCCCATCTTCCCAGCAGGCCCCGCCGATAGGAACTCCCCGGGACAGTTTCTGGGCTGCTTCCCCGAGGTCCCGCCCCTGACGCCCCGAGCGCTCTCGTGGCTGAGGACCCGCTTGGGACCTGGCCAGGTAGGTGGTGGTGCGCAACGTAGGGCTGTGTTTTCCCCGTTCAGTCCCTGGTGCTAAGCCCCGAGCCACCGCAGGTCAGGCAGCCTTTCCTCGCCCAGCTGAAACTGCCTTTGCAAAATTATGACTGAGTGGGAGAAAGGGCTATAACCTAAGCGACGGGATCTTGCTTCTAACACCCAAGCTGTCCTTGTTCATCCCTGGTGGTAGACTGAAATAACTTTGGGAGAAACTCAGATTAAAGTTTATAGTTTAAAACAGAGACGGTAACAGCACTTTCCCAAAGCACACCTCCTTGCCTGGGTTTCTAGATTGTCTTTTCAGGGCTAACAGCCACAAGATTAGAAATTATGGTTTAGGAGTCATGCAGCTGGAGGCTAGGAGATTCTGACCCTAAACTGCTCCTAAGATCAGTGCTTCAGATATTTTGCTGACCCTGCACTTGATGGATCAGCCGGCCCCACCCAGACTGATAAACTGGCTCATCTGATCTTGCCACCCCCACCCAGGAACTGACTGAGAGAAAGAAGACAGCTTCGACTCCCTATGATTTTATCCCTGACCAGTCAGCACTCCTGGCTCACTGGCTTCCCCACACCCTGCAGAAAAGACAGGTCAGTTATCCTTAAAACTCTGCTCTCTGTTCAGGCTGGTGGCTCATGCCTGTAACCCCAGCACTTTGGGAGGCTGAGTCGGCCAGATCACGAGGTCAGGAGTTTGAGACCAGTCTGGCCAACGTGGCAAAACCCCGTTTCTACTGAAAATACAAAAATTAGCCCGGTGTGGTGGCAGGCGCCTGTAATCCCAGCTACTCAGCAGGCTGAGGCAAGAGAATCACTCAAATCCAGGAGGCAGAAGTTGCAGCGAGCCGAGATTGTGCCATTACACTCCCGCCTGGGCGACAAGAGCAAGACTCCATCTCAAAAGAAAAAAAAACTGCTCCCTGAATGCTCAAGGAGATCGATTTAAGTAACAATAAAACTCTAGTCTCCCACATAGCCAGCATAGCCGCCTCTGCATGAATTACTCTTTATTGCAATTCCCTTTTTTCTTTGTTTTTTTTGAGACAGAGTTTCACTCTCATTGCCCAGGCTGGAGTGAAGTGGCGGGATCTTGGCTCACTGAAACCTCTGCCTCTTGGGTTCAAGCGATTCTCCTGCCTCAGCCTCCTGAGCAGCTGGGATTACAGGCATGCACCACAACACTCTGCTAATTTTGTATTTTAGTAGAGATGGGGTTTCTCTGTGTTGGTCAGTTTGGTCTCGAATTCCCAAGCTCAGGTGATCCCCCTGCCTCGGCCTCCCAAAGTGCTGGGATTAGATGCCTGAGCCAACCCAGCCAGCAACTCCCCTGTCTTAATTAATCAGCTTTGTCTAGGTGGTGGGCAAGGTGAATCCCTTTGGGCGGTTACAAATCACTCCGAGACACTGCAGGAAGAGTTGCCTCTGGCCTTTATTTGACATCAGGGCAGACAGTGGGTGCGCTGCACTTCAGGGCTCATCCACCCCACGCAGCCTATAAGTCTCCCGAGGTCTCTGGCTTTTCCTTCTCCAGATGCTTCTTTTGGGGACCCTGGTTGCGGGAGTGGTGCAAGAGGAGGCTTAGTCACAGGAGTCTGGCCAGAAACACTGCCCTCAGCCAGGCTCCAGGTCACCCATTCCAAGGCTGGTTCCTACCCCTTCTCTTCTAGAGAATCAGTGTCCAGGAGTAGACCCTTAAGAACCTCTCCTGCAGGCTGGGCACAATGGCTTATGCCTGTAATCCCAGCACTTTGGAAGGCCAGGACGGGCAGATCACGAGGCCAGGAGATAGAGACACCATCCTGGCTAACACAGTGAAACCCCATCTCTACTATAAATACAAAAAATTGGCTGGGTGTGGTGGCACACGCATGTAGTCCCAGCTGCTCAGGAGGCTGAGGCAGGAGAATCGTTTGAACCCAGGAGGTGGAGGTTGCAGTAAGCCAAGATCACGCCAGTGCACTCCGTCTCAAAAAAAAAGAGTTTCTCCTGCAGATGGGCGAAGCGGAGTCCCTGCCAGCTCCAGATTCCCTACTCGGGCAGGCTGGATGTGGAATGGGAGCCCAAGAGAAGAACAGGGATGGGGGACACTGAGCTCACCATGAAGGCCCTCTTCTCTTGGGCTGTCTGGAAGCGGCCATGGCCAAACTTGGAGGTGGTATCGATGAACTTGAGCTCAATATTCTCCAGGGCCTGGCGGCTGTGGTGCACCAGGAGGGACTGGGGAATCCATGGTCAAGTAGACATCAAGAGTAGGGATCTTGATCACCCTGCTGTGACCTCCAGGCCACACCAGGAAGGTCTTGCACACCTAGTTCCTGCCAGACCCCTCCCTTTCTGTTCTGCCCACTGCGTCTGCTTTGTAGCAGGCTGCAGGGCAGGACAGGCTGGCATCCCTCATGTACCCACTCCCTAGCCCGCCTCGCCCTGCCAACCTTTCTCAGCGTAATAACCCGCTTCTTGGTACCAGCAATGCAACCCTTCAGCATGACGAAGTCATTGTTCACTTCCCCATAGTGGGGGAAGCCACCCTGCAGAGGAGACAGGTCAGGGGCCAGGCCCAGACAGGGCTTCTGAGTTAGCAGGTGGCTGGGGGACCTAGGAGAATCCCCACAGCAGGCTGTGATTGGAGGGAGCCCCATGCCCAGCCCCCAGGTATAGGGATGACTATTACCACTACTGAGGAAAGCATCTGAGTCACAAGCTAAGTCCTTTTCTTTTTTGAGACAGTCTCACCCTGTCACCCAAGCTGAAGTGCAGTGGCGCAATCTTAGCTCCCTGCAACCTCCGCCTCCCGGGTTCAAATGATTCTCCTGCCTCAGCTTCCTGAGTAGCTGGGATTACAGGCTTGCGCCACCACACCCAGCTAATTTTTGTATTTTCAGTACAGATGGGCTTTCACCATGTTGGCCAGGCTGGTCTCAAACTCTTGATCTTGTGATCTGCCCACCTCAGCCTTCTAAAGTACTGGGATTACAGGCAGAGCCACTGCACCCAGTTGTTCAGAACTTTTCATGTGTTATCTTACTCAACAATCTGCGTTTTTGTTGGGGGAGACTGAGGATCACTTGCTCCAAGCTCCACGGCTGCTAAGTCCTGGAGATGCAGTTTGAGCCCATGTGGCCTGACTCCCAGGCCACAGTAGGAGCTGCCATACTCCACACCCACATGACAGCAACTGGAGTGGAAGCTGCCTCCAGAGGAGCCTTGGAGGATGTGGATGCAGCAGGGATTTCTTGCTTGTGACTATATCCACATGTTTTGGACAGCAGAGGCAAGGGTCCCATATGACTGCCCAGATGTCAAAGCCTTGTGTCCCAGCGTGTCTGGGGGGCAGCGTCCAGCTGTGGGCACAAATCTTGAGCCCTTGGGGTGGACGCACCCAGCTGGGGCATACCCATGGCCCCCTGGGCCAGCCTGACCCCACTCCAGCCCTCACCAGCGGTGTGATGGGCCTGGCAGACACGCCCTCCCAGCCTCACCAGTGGTGTGATGGACTTGGGAGTCACGTCGTAGCTAGTGGATGCATTGTTCTTCACCAGCTTCCCATCCTCCATGTGTAGCCCCCGGCCAATTCGGTAGATCTGCCAGGAAAAGGGGGCACATGCCAGGGGCAGGAGGTGGCCTCTGGGGCCAGCAGCCCATACAGGCCCATCAGCACACGTGCTCAGCCTCAGCGCTGGTGAGGGCATCTCATGACCCTGGCAGTGTCTGAGTCATGCACTCTACCTGCCGAGGCCAGTACTGAGGGCAGGAGTCCAACCACACAGTGTCCCCCTCCCCTGGCTGTGGACGCACCTTCTTGTTGAGCTCTGTGCGGTGGTGATAGCCCTTCTGCCCGGCCCGGGCGATGGAGCAGCCCACGCGGGCCGGGTGCCAGGCACCAATGCAGGCCACCTTCCGCAGGCCCTTATGCGTCTTCCTCGGTAGCTTCTTGGTATGCCAGCGGCTTGTGACCCCTGCAAGTGGGCGGGGCTGGTGGCTGAAAGGCCAGGCTGCTCCCCACTGCCTCCAGGCAGCCTGCCCTGGAGCTGCCATCCCCACTGAGCCCTACCTTTGACACCTCGGCCCTTGGTGACAGCAATGACATCAATGACCTCACTCTGGCTGAACACGCTGTGCACTGGCACCTGCTTCTCCAGCCGGGCTTGGGCCCAGGCCACCTTCTCGGCCACCGTGCCGCCATTCAGCTGGATCTCCATGATATGGGCCTTCTTCTGCCGGAAGGGCAGCAGTTTCATCTGCAGGACATACTGGAGGTCACGCCATGGCCCACAGGATCACACCCCCACCAATCATGGCATGGCCGGCCGTGGCCCCTGCTGTCTTTCACACATGCATTCGTTCACAGGTGTTCCTGGGGTTAGGCTGCAAGCCGTGTGTTGTGCCGGGCACCACAGATGCGGGGTGGAATGAGGCAGAGTCCCACACCTCAGGAGCCACCATCTTGCTGGAGGACAGAAGGAAGCCAAGTAACTTTTTTTTTTTTTTTGAGATGAACTCTCGCTCTGTTACCCAGACTGGAGTGCAGTGGCGCGATCTCAGCTCACTGCAACCTCCACCTCCCAGGATCAAGTGATTTTCCCACATTAGCCTCCTGAGTAGCTGGGATTACAGGGGCCCGCCACCCCACCCAGCTAATTCTTTGTTTTATATTTTTAGTAGAGATGGGGTTTCACCATCTTGGCCAGGCTGGTCTTGAACTCCTGACCTCATGGTCCATCTGCCTTGGGGTCCCAAAGCTCTGGGATTACAGACATGAGCCACCGCACCCAGCCGAAGCCAGGTAACTCTTGGTGAGGACAGAGTGCTCTGATGGGCCATGGGGGCTGATGTTTCAGATACAGTGGTCGGGGCAGGGAGGGCCTCTCTGAGGAGGTGACGCTGCTAACTAGAAGGAACCACTAGGCAAAGATTGGAGCGGCTTTGGGCAGTGGGCCCTGCATGTGCAAAGGCCTGCTGGCAGGGGAGGTCTTGGAAAGTTGGCAGGACAGAGAGACCACTGTGGGCCAGACAGTGGGGAGCAAGGAGCGTGGGCAGCAGTCAGGCAGGACTGGCATCGGGGAGCTCAGACTTTCTTCCAAGTGCAGACTGTGATGTAAGCTGATTTTTTTCTTCTTTTTTGACTTGGAGTCTCACTCTGTCACCCAGGCTGGAGTACGGTGTGGCCATCTTGGCTCACTGCAAACTCCGCCTCTCAGATTCAAGCAATTCTCCTGCCTTAGCCTCCTGAGTAGCTGGGATTACAGGTGCATGCCACCATATTAGGCTAATTTTTGTATTTTTAGTAGAGACGGGGTTTCCCCATGTTGGCCAGGCTGGTCTCGAACTCCTGACTTTGTGATCCGCCCACCTTGTCCTCCCAAAGTGTTGGGATTATAGGTGTGAGCCACTGTGCGTGGCCCTGATTTTTTTTTTTTTTTTTTTTTTTGGTAAGGTCTCTGGCTGGTGCTGTGTGAAGCACAGGCTGTGCAATGTAGAGGTGGAGACAGAGACGCCAGCACACACCACATAGTGACCCATAGGTATGTATGGGGCAGGTGTGTACAGGGCAGAGGTGTACAGGGCAGGTGTATATGGGCTGGTGTGTATGGGGCAGGTGTGTACGGGACAGGTGTGTATGGGGCAGGGGTGTACGGGACAGGTGTGTATGGGGCAGGGGTGTACGGGACAGGTGTGTACGGGGCAGGTGTGTACGGGGCAGGTGTGTACGGGGCAGGTGTGTACGGGGCAGGTGTGTACGGGGCAGGGGTGTACGGGGCAGGGGTGTACGGGGCAGGTGTGTACGGGGCTGGTGTGTACGGGGCAGGTGTGTACGGGGCAGGTGTGTACGGGGCTGGTGTGTACGGGGCAGGGGTGTACGGGGCAGGGGTGTACGGGGCAGGGGTGTACGGGGCAGGGGTGTACGGGGCGGGTGTATACGGGGCGGGTGTATACGGGGCAGGTGTGTACGGGGCAGGGGTGTACGGGGCAGGTGTGTACGGGGCAGGTGTGTACGGGGCAGGTGTGTACGGGGCAGGTGTGTACGGGGCAGGTGTGTACGGGGCAGGGGT